GTTATAAATTTCCCTCCATATATTGCTTTAGGTGAGTTTCAAGTTTGAGTATCCAATATGACTTCTAATTCCAGTTCTTCTTTTGGGTTAATTGGAAGTGTACTTCCCAATTTTCCAATACATGGCAAATTTTCCAGTTTTATTGTTGTTAAAATTTCTAGCACGATTACATATTCTGTACAATTTCATTTCTTTGGTATTTGTTTCTTGAAACTTTGTTTATGACCCTAATACATAGTCAGTGTTTCTAAACTTTCTGTGTGTACTTGAATAGAATGTGTACTCTGAAGGTATTTGGTGCAAGATTTCAGATTTGTCCATTAACTCAAGTTAGTTTTTATGATGTATCAAAACTTCTATAACTTTATTGAATTTTGATGTATCTGTTTACTGTCAATTTCTGAGAGAATATGTTAAAATCTCCTGCTACAATTGTGAATTTCTCTCCTCTGATTCTTTTCATTTTTACTTTATATATTTGGAGACCATGTTTTTAGGTTTATACAAATTTTAAATTGTTACAGTTTCCTGCTGAGTTGAATCTTTTATCATAGAAAATGATCCTATTATTTACCTTTTAACCTCTTTAAAACTTCATGTTTTAAAAGTGTCTTTTGTAACTATATAGTTGGATTTTGTTTATCCTGTCTGAAATTTANTATTTAAATATTATACTTACTCCTCTTCATTCCTATCTGTAACTCAAACCTTCTGTTTGGGATCCTTTTCCTATTTATTGAAGTAGAGTATGTCCTTCAGAATTTCCTTTGTGAGAGAGTGGTGGCAAACTTTTAGTTTTTGTTTGTCTGAAAACATCTTCATTTTGCCTTTTTTCTCAAACGATGTTTTCACTAGGTGTAGGATACATTGTTAGCATACTGAAGATATCTTTCCATTGTCTTCCAGCTCCATTCTTTATGTTGAGAAGTCAGCTATTAACCTAACTTTATTTGATGGTAATTTATCTTTTTTAATAATAAAATTTTTCATTAAAAATTTTCCCATTGTCTTTTGTTTTCTGTAGTTTCTCTATGATTTAACAATGTATGAACTCTTTTATATTTGTCCCCATTGGACTTATTGAATTGATGGACTAATGATTCTCATTAGGTAGGGAAAATACTCAGTCATTGTCTTTTCAGATTTTTCTTCTTCCCATTAGCTGTCATATTTTACTCAGGAACTTCAATCAGGTATATGTCAGAATATTTTACTATATCATTTAAATTGATGGACTAATGATTCTCATTAGGTAGGGAAAATACTCAGTCATTGTCTTTTCAGATTTTTCTTCTTCCCATTAGCTCTCATATTTTACTCAGGAACTTCAATCAGGTATATGTCAGAATATTTTACTATATCATTTAAATCCTACCCTCTTTTCTGTATTTTCCTTCTTTTTGCCTCTCCATGCTACACTCTGGAGAATTTCTTCACACCATCTTTCCATTCACTAATTTTTATTTTATGATGTGTCTAACCTGTTGTTAAACCTGGTGTAGGTGGTTTGATCAGGGCTGATCAAAGAGAAAGATATGACCGTGAAGTGGCAATAGCACACACAAACTTTTTTTGGGTAAAGGAGAAGTCCCTAATAGCATGTGACTGTCCGGAGGCTATGGCATGGAGGCTACCTTCCAGAAGGGGGAGTAGGGCAAAGTAACTGCTACGGGTGAGGGAAATCAGATAGGGGACTTATGCGTCTAGGTGCTGTCTTTCAGCAGCACGGGTGGGCAGTCTCTGGGTCAGGGTTTATCTTATTTACAATTAGCAGATGTTGGGTGCAGTTTTGTGGAATATGCAAATCAGGCAGACTCTTAAAGGCTAAATATCTGTTTATTTGGGCTACCTTTAAAACAATTGGATGTGTAAAAATTTGAGTTTGGTGCCAGAAGGCTTATGAACTAACAGGTCTCGGCCTGCTGTGAAGAAATGAACAACCTAGAAGCCAATATGCAGAGGTCATCTTTGGCTCATTTATAGAACACCTGACCATCCTGTTATTAATTTCATTAATAGTATTTTAAATTTCTAGAAGTTCTTGCTATTTAAAAAAATCTTTACTTTAAAGCTTAGAGTGTGGTGCTGACAATACCAATGTCCAGAGTTTGGTCGCTGTACTTACTGACCAGCTGCCAAAAAACAAAACAGAACAAAAACTTCACTTTTTACAGTTTCCTGTTTTCTGCTTTTGTGCATGTCTTTTATTTTCTTAAACATTGTCAGCATGGTTGGTCTGTGATCTGAGTTAGATAATTTGAATTTCTGAAGTTTTTGTGGGTTTGATTCTGTTTTCTCTCATCCTTCCTAGTTCTCCCTCATGGAGTCCAGTTTCTTAGTATGTCGGGTTATCTTTGATGGTGTGCTGGACACGATATTTGAAAAATTACTTATAGGAATAGTTAAAGGCCTGCAATGAAGACACTTTCCTTCCTAAATGATAGGCATTTGCTCTGCCAGATAACTGAGAGAACTATCAGTTTGAGACTACCTTAAACTGAATTCAAGGCTTGAGAGTCCCTGAATTGCTGATAGGATTCCAAATGGGCTATTATTCTGCACAAGGGATATTCTAGTTCCACTTTATTTTTCCTTTGTCAGTGTAGCTCTCTGGAGTCCCAGCTGATTGTGGATAGGGTCTCCTATTAGGCTTCCCATCTTGTGCTGGGCCTAGACTTTGTTTATTGTCCTGTTGTCCTGTTACCAATTTTAGTTGGTAAAACAACCAACTAAAAATTCTAATTTTACAGAATCAGTAAAGCTTCCAGGACCAAAATAGCCTCTGTGCTTTCTTACTTTCTGGGTTCAGTTTTTTACCTTCATTTTTGATTGGCAACTTTTTATTTTCTTGTCATCTCTTTGGTATTCTTAAGAAAATGTTTTAGTAATTTATCTATTTTTTTAAAATTCTTTTCATTTGGAGCATTGATTTGAATAATCTAGCCCAGTGGCTATCAAAGTGTGATCTGGGACCCTTGTTTTCCCTGAGATCCTTTCAGGGGCTCTGTGAGGCAGGGCTGGGAATAGGATAAGGCGAGCTGCCTCGGCACAAAGGAGAAGCGTCGGCACTTGCACCACTTGCACAAACGTTAGGGCCTTCTTACATTTTGTGCCCTGGGTGCCTCACTCATCTCATCCTTAGTCCAGGCTGGTCCTGCCTGAGATCAAAACTGTCCTCAGAATTTGAGTACTTAAAGGTTTTTGCCATTTGACTTTCATTCTCTCAAGCGCAGGGAAGTTTTCCAGGGATAATGTGATTTCAAAATAGATCAAATACAGCTATGCCAATCTATCTGTCCTCTGTTAAGCCAGACGTTAAAGAGATTTACAAAAAATGTAAAACAGTGCCACTCATCTCACTAAATTTTTGTTTTGGTAAATACGGTGTTTTTAAATAAAAAAAATTTTATGTTAAATATTTATGTAGTAGGTTTATTATTGTTACTTTTTATTAGTTGAATACTTTAAAATTTGTCTTATATTCTAATATGATAAATATTGACAG